TGGGGGGCAAGATGGGGTCAATGGGGGGGGACAAGATGGGGATAACGGGGGGACAAGGCGTGGGATAATGGGGGGATCAATGGGGGGGGACAATATGGGGTCAATAGGGGGACAAGGGGTGACAACGGGGGGACAAAGAGGGACAAGAGAGGTCCAAGGGGACGGATAACGGAGGACAAGGAGGGGACAACATGGGGACGAGGGGGGGAAACGGGGTGACAAGATGGGGATAATGGGGGGACAAGGAGGTGACAACGGGCAGGACAAAGGGGGAACATCGGTGGGACAACGAGGGGGACGGACGAGGGGGTGGCAGGCAGCTGCCTGTCCCTACCGGTGACGTTGACGGTGACGGGGTGCATCCACAGCAGTTTGCTGTTGGGCTGACGCACGAGATCGGCCTCCAACCGCAAGCCGTAGGCGCCGGCGTCGTGGGCTTGGATGTGTTGCAGGACCAGGCTACAGTCGCCGTCCCTAGTTCCTGGGATCCATCGGAGTTCGGCCACGCTCCGCCCCTTAAATTCCTTCTTCTTCTGATCGTAAGCGGGTTGATGGATCCAACGGAGCTGGACGTTCGTTCCGTCTTTGCACAGGCTGTAGCGGCAGGGGATGTGGAGGCAGGAACCCAACGCGGCCATCACCTCGTTCGGACCCGTCACCAGGTTAGGGCAGGTGGAGAGGGAGCCTGTAGAAGGTGTAAGGGACCCAGGTGTTTGGGGGATCAAGGGGTTTTGGGGACCCAGGAGCCCAGGGACCCAGGCCATCGGGGACCCAGGCATCCAGGGACACAGAAGTCCGGGGATGGAGATGTTCTAGAGACACCTTCAACCCCAAAGGACAGAGGGACCTCGGCCGCTGAGGGACCTAGACGTCCGGGGACCCAGGTGTTTTGGGGACCCAGGAGTCCAGGGACCGAGGTGGTTGGGAACCCAGGTGTCCAGGGACGCAGATGTCTGGGCACTGAGATGTTCTGAGGAGGCCTTCAAACCTCAAAGGCCAGAGGGACCCAGGCAGATGAGTGACCAAGGCATCCAGGGACATAGACGTTTTGGGGACCCACGAGGCCGGGGACCCAGGTGGTCGGGGACCCAGGTGTGCGGGGACCCAGGTGTGCGGGGATGGAGATGTTCTGGAGGCACCTTCAACCCCAAAGACCAGATGCACCCAGGCTTCCGGGGGATGCAGGCATCCAGGGACCCAGGTGTTTTGGGGACCCAGGCATCTGGGGAAGCCTATCCATCACCCCCTCGTCAACTTGAGACGGGGGGGGACGGGGACGGACGACACCCAGGTGTCCGGTGGGGGGGACCCGGGCGTCCGAGGGGACCCAGACGTCCGGGTTCGGCCTCCTTCACCCGCCCCTCTGAGACACAGGAGGGACCCAGGCGTCCGGGTTCCCAGCCTCCTCCCCCGCTCGTAGCCAGTCGAGCCCACTTCCTTCCCTCTTCGCAAAGGGACCCAGGTGTCTGGGTGCCACCACCCCCACCCCATGGACCTCCTGCCCCGAGGGGACCCAGGGGTCCGGGTCCCACTGCCCCATAGATTCCCCAAAAGGACCCAGGTGTTTGCGTCCCACCACCCCATGGACCTCCTGCCCCAAAGGGATCCAGGTGTTTGGGTCCCACCACCCCATAGATGCCCCAAAGGGACCGAGACGTCCATGTCCCACCACCCCATGGGTACCCCGAAGGGACCCAGACGTCCGTGTCCCACCACCCCATGGGCGCCACCACCCCATGGACCTCCTGCCCCGAAGGGATCCAGGTGTTTGGGTCCCACCACCCCATAGGTGCCCCGAAGGGACCCAGACGTCCGTGTCCCACCACCCCATGGGCGCCACCACCCCATGGACCTCCTGCCCCAAAGGAACCCAGGTATCTGGGTCCCACCACCCCATGGGTGCCCCGAAGGGACCGAGCCGT